GTCTATTTTGCTCAATTATGGGTCCTTTTCGTTGTTCGGAATATTTTTGCCACTAGCTTCAAAAAGCTGTTCGCTCTTGTTATTTGCTCTTTGAGTATTTGCTTTAACAATATATAAAGAAAAAATCTTTATTGCAGATCTGAAGAATTTCATATGATTTCGAGTGAGAGTTATATAACAATTAGTATCCATGAAAACTATAAAAAAACGATTTATATGGAGCCTAATTTTGAAAAGAATTTTCAAAGAAACTGAATTTACAACATGTCTTGCCGATTTTTAGCTAGAGTTCTCATTGCTATGGTTGTGTCAGTCTTACCTTGAAGAAAGCAGCTGTTATTAATCGTTTTATTATAGTCTTTTGCTTCTTGCTGTAATTTGAAACGAATGAGAGCAAACATGTGAAATAAATCAGAGGTATATGACAAGAAAAAGAGTCCTTTATCTTACGGAATATCATATATTAACTGCACTTCAGTTCTTATCAGAGTAATATCTACTAGAAAAATATTGCCTCATACAGGAACGAAACAATTTTTTCACATGCCTCTTCTACACAAGAGTCCTGCACGTGTCCAACTTTTCGAACTCGTACCCGACCCGATCCGATAAAAGTGTAGATGTAGATGTGAGTGCCGATGTGGATGTTTCCTCCTAAGTTGCACCCACACCAACACCCTTCTTTTGATTGTACTTATTTTAATAATATTTTTTAATTACTTAACAGTTTATTTATAAAAGTGTATGCAACAGAAAGATTCATGTATATAAAATAGAGAAAAAATAACAGAATTCCTGCAAAATAAATTGTAGCAATAACAAAGAATATCAACTGCGTGAACATATACTAAATGTGTCTTAATAAGAAATCATGAGATTTCGATTAAAATTTCGATAAATGGATTGATTATCCATACATACCTAGCATTAGTAATATTTTTAACAAAAAACTGATTGATTGCAGTTAAAATTATAATTAAAGTCCATGCTTGAAATCCAACAATTGATTTCCATTTTAATACTTTTTGATGTCAATGTAGCGGAACACCCATTCACAATATGACTCACGGAGTTTAATATGTTGTGACAGGTTTCAGCTAATTTTAAGATGATGACCATCAATACTGATATCATAGTAAATGAAACACGTATAGTTAATGAAATATTTGATAAATTCTTAGTAATACCATCATACGTGGACTAAATATATAATTGAATAATTACTTTTTTGAGAAAAAAATAGTACAAAAAACGTACTCTGACGTCGATGGAGTTTGAAAAGATATTTAGACTTTGTTGTCATTTGATAATTTAATGCTGAATTATTAATATGATGAGAGAATAATATGTAAAAATCATTTTCGTTTATGTATTCCTCCAGAGAAGACATACATCTCATTATCGACATCTACGTTTATTTCTTATAGAGAACAAATTCATACGATTTTAAATTGTATAGGGCAGGGACAAGATAAAATTATAATATACTTAGGACAATCCAAAAGTGGTAACGGCTGCATCTTAATTTTGTATCGAAGGCTTGAGAAAACTTTCTGTCAGTATAGTCTTCAAGAGAAAAGAATGGTCTATTTTTCTATGCTATTTTATCATATATCAACTAATATCATAATAATAATAAAATAGAAGATAAGAATTGTTCTTGTTGAAAAATAGCTGGTCGCATTCAGATCATAATGGGTATGGCATAAAATGGAGCACTTTTGGATTTCATTTTATCATCACTTGATACGTTGTACTAAAAAAAACAAAATATACAACCACAAGATGCAGCGTGAAAAGCTCTACAATTTATAGAGGATCTGTTATTTTATAATTGCACCTTTTGTTTTCAAAATAGACAAAATTCTGAGCAACCAAATTTCGACCCCAGGTCAATCATGGTCGGCCGTACACTAACCAATCACGGCGGATAACGGTGGCTCTTTACATAGCCGTCTGCAGCAATGGTAAACGGTACTTTACGGCATATTACGACCACTGTAAACAATGCCCGTAGAAGGTCACCGTAAACCACTAGCGTAATAATACGGCGACTGTATACTTTGCTCGGTAAACACCGTTAGACATCGTATACGTCAGCTGTTTGCGATAGCCGTTTACAACAGTCGTAGATGCTGCTTTACGACATAAAGGGTGTTCCATAAGTATCGACCCCCCTTTTTGTTTTTTTCCTATCTTTTCCCCGTTCCATCATGGACAGATATTAAGTATAGATTCTTGAAGAGCGACATCTAAGCTATCAATCAAAAACAAATGTGTCCAATTTTGCATGAGTTATACGAGAGAACCATATCGATAAAAATTTTGAAAAAATTTGGTTAGATGCATTATGTAGTTTTTATCTATTCAGGTTAAAATATAATACCACCATTCGATAGCAAATATTGTTCTCTATCGATCTACACAAAGCTGATCTTTTTGGATTGTTTCGTTCAGAAGATAGAAGGGTTTTTCAGAGACATTCCTTTTTGGACTATCTGACCATTTATCACTCTAAAATGTCTTCAAAAAGGGGTAATCGGCCATGCTGAGCCGAGTGGTGATATTTATTTTCTGTTTCAAAGCGATTTAACATGTTTATAGCGGATTTTTAACATTTGATATTTTCTCGCTATAGGATTGAAAAAGACTATGTTGTGAGAAATATCCTATAAACATACCAGATCACCATGAAAAAATTTTTAAAAAAATACTACGGTTTAAGAAACCGCGAAAGTTAGACCATTTATGTGTTTCTCAAAAATCGGTTAAAACAACGGTGTATAAATACCGTGGTGACAACAGGAATCACCGTGGTTAAATCTGCAAAAAATTACCTCGAACCAGAGTTTTCCCTATTGCCACCACGTCTTTAGGCAGTTTTTGAGAAACATATGAATGATCCGACTTTCACGGTTTTTTCAAAAAATATTTTTCGCCGATCGCTTTAAAACGGAAAATAAATATCACCATTCGACTCAGCATGGCCGATTACCCCTTTTTGAAGACATTTTAGAGTGATAAATGGTCAGATGGTCCAAAAAGGAATGTCTCTGAAAAACCCTTTTATCTTCTGAACGAAACAACCCAAAAAGATCAGCTTTGTGTAGATTGATAGAGAACAATATTTGCTATCGAATGGTGGTATTATATTTTAACCTGAATAGATAAAAACTACAAAATGCATCTAACCAAATTTTTTCAAAATTTTTATCGATATGGTTCTCTCGTATAACTCATGCAGAACTGGACACATTTATTTTTGATTGATAGCTTAGATGTTGCTTTTCAAGAATCTATACTTAATATCTGTCCATGATGGAACGGGAAAACGGTAGGAAAAAAACAAAAAGAGGGGTCGATACTTATGGAACACCCTTTATGAGAATTTCTGTGTAACTTTTTCAGGATCCTGTCCAGAACTTTTCAAGAATGTAGAAAATCTTGAAGAATCTTTCAGAATTATAAACCTACAGGATCCTGTAAAATTGTATTCAGGATCCTTTTCAGGGTTTGTTCAAGATTTTACTCAAATTTTTTTCTAAACGAAGAATACAGAATTCACTGTCGGTTCTGCTTAGAATCCTCGCACAAACAATTAACAAGAGTCTGCCAAGATTTTATCAGGCTTTAATCACGATCTTGGATGAGTATAGATATGAATATGTTTGTGTGGGTGACAATATCAGTGAGGAGAACGTCCACATTCCGCATTCATCCTCAACCACACTCAACTACACATAACCTTTGCAAAACTTGTATTTTAGTAGTTCTTTTAAATATATACGAAGAAGTCGTATTGAGACATTTTCATATATTTTCAATGATTCTTGTATATATCGACCATAATGATGATAGTTATGGAAAGTTTATTCTTTTTCTCCTCTCATATAGTACAATAAAAGACACTTCTCGTCATCTTTCAAATCGACAATTATTATTCGCTCATTTTGTTTTTCAAAATGGTATAATCAATTTGCAATTCACTCTAATGTATGTTTTATGTATATATATATATATATATGTATCAAAATCATATTACCCTAGAGTCAATGAATAATTATATTCATTTAAAAATAGTCTCATATACATAAAGCAAAAAAATATCGCTAAAAGAGCAAAGGTGAATCAATGAAAAATAAAAATATTAATTTCATATGAAATAAACAACAAGGTTCGATTGACATTCATTATATATAATGTAACTGATATGTAGAATGATTAATTCAACAAAAAAAAAGAAAAGAAAATAGTATCAAGCCAAGGTGCTAAATTCTAATGCGGTAAATTAATTGTATCTCTTTTCTATATTATTTTAATAATACATCATATTCTTGGTACCATTACAAATTCTCTGTTATGATACGTCAGTTAAAAACGGAAACTGAGAATGTTGTTTCATTGGGTATCATTCTATAATGATACCTAAACATTTTCAAATATTGCACTCTGTTAACTAATAGGTATTGTAGTTGCTAAAAGGGAATAAATAATATTGATTTTTAGGATAAAAGTATAGATGAGCAGTAGAATAAAAGATGGTTGTTGGCAAAAAGAATGTTAATTATAACGATTCAATCAATCATTGCCAGTTTACCATTTTTTTTCATATGTACAAAAAAATTCAAAAATTTTTTTTCGAAATCCTATATTGTTTACGTGTTCATAATAATAACACATAGAATGTTTACCAGTTGCGATGTAATCGATATAAATATCTCCTATATAAGTTTTAATCATACTTTTCTTTATCTAAGTAATAACGATAAACTATAATCTTAATTAAAAAATTGAATTGGATAATTTTTTTTGTAAAATATCGATACATATCAGTCAGATTATTATGATTAAAAAATAATAAAGTATAATGAACGCAATGAAAAATTTATATTGATAATTTAGAGAAAAGAGTTTTTCATTTGATTTTCTATCACGTTTATAAGTAGTTAAAAAGAGCATTTTTATTTATTTATGAAAGTTTTCTTTAGTGAAAATAATTTTTAAAAAATTTGTTGAATAGGTAATGATATTGTTTGTATAGTGATTGATGTATTTGTTTTAATTTTAATATAAATAGCTTGAAGTCTAAAACAATGATCAAATAAAGCTAGGCAATGAATAAATGGATCAAATATATTTTCATGAACAATTAATTCAAATTTTTTTTCTTGTTTTGCTTTTTTTTGTAAATTTTTAACATATTGTTTATCCCATGATGGTGAGCGTCGACTAGAAAGATCACAACCAAATGAAAATTTAATAAAAGAATTTTCATCATTTGAATAATAAACTAAAGCAAAATATCGAATCTCAATTAAACAATCATCAGCTGAAACAAAACCAAGAATATTTGATTGACATATATTTAATTGATCGATTAATTTTTCTAATGTTGGTAAATTCAATGGTCGATTTACCTAAATAATATTATAGAATTAATCAAAAGTTGTATCATAATTAATTTACAAAAAACAAAAAAAAGACTCTGAAGGTAAACCTGTTCAATAATAAGACTAGCATGTTTCATTTGTGTATCTTCAATATTAATTTTAAGTTTAAGTGGTTGAGGTAAAAGATGATGCGCTCGAAAACGATGTTGATTATCAACTCCTGGTGAACCATTTAATTCAATTTTAATTGTTATTGAACATAAAAGAAGTTTATTTGGTTCAATATTAATTATTTGTTGATCTTGATTTAAAATTAATTGGCAAGGTATCCATTTATTTGAATTCTCACAATTATTTTCATATTGAGCTGATAATTGAAGAATACCAACATATTCAGAACTCGTATTATGAAAAATAAAACGAGGAAATGTAAATGAATTAAAAAATTTTCCATTTCTAGCATATAAATCTTGATTACATTCAATTTCTTTTGATTGATTAATTAAACGAATAGATGAATCACCTTCACTTGAATAGATTTTTGGAATTATTTCTAATATTTCATCATTTATTTGAGGACCTTCACGAATTATTTCTGGAGGAATAAATGAAGAACTTATTTGTAAATCTTCTTCATCACTTTCATCTTCAATTATTATTGTTTGATCAGGAGATTCTGATCGTTTTATTCCAATAATAGAATTTATTTTATCAATTAATTCTTGACATTTATTTTCAAAATTAATTTCATTTATATTACGAAAATTTAAATAAACCATATCACTTATGGTAAGACCCAACCATTGTGATGGTTTCCATTTTTCATTTTTATTTTCATTTCCAACAAGACATGGAATTATTGATTTACCCTTTTGAACAGCATAAGTTAATTCTTTTTTACAATTTAATGATTCTTGATATTCTGGTGTTAAAAAACAAACAAATACACAACAATTTTCAACACCTTCAGCCATACTAAATTTTAAAAAAAACTTTCTAGCTTTAAATTGAAAAACAATCATTCATAAAGGACATTCAGCTAAATTTAATTAAAAAAAAAACAAGATTTTTGATAAAGAATCTCTTCTACAACAAAAAAACGATTTCTTATTATAAAACAACAAATTATTTATTAACTGTTATGATTAAAAGAAATAAGATATCTATCAAGAATGAAATTAGCTTGAGAAGATTTTTGTCAAATCCCAAGAAACCATCTAATGAAATACTATTCAAAGTTATCAGATTCGTTATTCTATCGAAAAAATTTGTCGCTAAAATCTAAATCCATCGAAAACATCTAAACATCTTGATATGTCTAATGCTTTGTCTTGCCTCAGGTAAAGGATTTCGTGCATTTATCATTGGATGACTATGGAAAATGATAGGAACTTTGTAAGTAAGAACACGATGATTGTGTCTAACTATCGACACTGCTCGATTACGGTTGAAATTGGAAAAATCCAAGCATCATATTCCTACTTTGAAATTTCTATTGTTTTTCAGGGATGAATGAGTATATATAATTGAGGTGAACTTCTCTGACAAAATATCCAGTTTTTGACCAACATATGATTATTATTTATTTTGACAGAAGGTCACTTTTGAATGACTCGAAAATCTAATTAACCTTGTAGTAAGACATTGATTTATTCCTCCATATCTATCCATCCAAACAGGTATTGATTGAACTTTTGTTAAATAAAAAAATATTTTTGATACTAAACTTTCACTCTTCCATTCATATGAAAACATAATATGTTGAGCTTTTTGCGTATTTTGCATTGCAACATCCATTTGACGTGTAAATGACAATAATAAATAGGTGAATATTATAACGATAGAAAAAAAGAAAAGAAAGCAAAGACAATTATTCTAGATTGAGATCGATCGATCGAATAATTTAAAATACATTATATATTAGTCAGGTAGAAACAAATCAACATAATGTACAAATTATCGTTTATTTTCAATAGAATTCTTCATCTTATTTATATTATTATTAAGATTGTTTTTTTTATTTGAAATGATAATAATAAAAGAAATGTTTTTTTCTTCTTTAATGAAATACATTTTAAATTTCAATAAAATGATTAAAAGTTAAAATAATAATTAATGTTTATCAAAAAGAAGATCAATTTCACAATAGATTCCCGTAAAATAATTTGTACAAAGACAACGATTTTGTGTTGCAAGACATGTTCCATTATTTAGACAAATATTTTTGGTTTCATCACAAAATAAACTTTTTAATTCACATTTAATTCCACCAAAACCTTTTTCACATAAACATTTTCGTTGTATTGGATCACATGTTCCACCATGTTGACATTCATGTAAGAGACAATAAAGTTCTCCTGTTACATTAACACAAGTATCAGCTAAACAAACTTGTTCTGGATATTGACATTGTTGTTCACCACATTTAACTATTTCATCACAATATCTTCCACCAAAACCTTGTTCACATCGACATATACCATCAGGACTTGTTGGAGATTCAAGACATGTACCATTATTCATACATGGATGTGATGAACAAAATGATTTATTTAAATTTTCTGAACAATTTGAACCTGAATATCCATATGTACATAAACATTTATATGTTTGGCTCACTGTTTCATGAACACATATTCCATTATTCTCTAAATATATAATATTACAATTTATATCTTTTTTCTATTAAACGAATTAGATTTTTTTTATTTATTTTAACGAACCACATGGATTTGGTGCACATGGATGAAGTGGAGTATCACAATAAGATCCTGTAACATCTTTTGGACATAAACATCTTCCATATTTATTGTCAATAAGAGCACATTTTCCTCCATGATGATGACAATTTCTTTTACAGGCTGTTGGTGTTATATATTCACAAAAAGGTCCAGCATAATCAGGTGGACATAAACAAAATCCATCACCTGTATGATTTAATACAATACAAGTTGAACCATTTCGACAAGGATCAATTGAACAAAATGTTCGTTGAGGATATTCACATAAACGACCTGAAAAACCTGGTTGACAAAGACATTGACCATCAACACCAGATAATGGTATACATGTTCCTACAACACAACAATTTTATTATTTTTTATTAATATATATGTGTGTGTATGTGTTTTTTTTTTCTTGATTAAAAACCAACCATTATTTCTACATGGATTTTCTTGACAAAAAGGAATACGTTTTTCACAAAATTCTCCAACATAACCAGGTTCACATAGACAAATTCCAGATGGTGATTGAACTAAAATACATGTACCATTATTTTGACATGGATAATGACTACAAAATGTTGTATTGCGTAAATCATGTTCACAAAATGGTCCAGTAAACATCATTGGACAAGAACATTTATATCCATCATTTGATACTAAATATTCATTTATTTTTTTTATTTATTAAATAATATATATAAATCTTACCATTATAACAAGTACCTCCATTTAAACAAGAACATTCTCCAAGATTTTCTTGACAAAGTTTTCCAGCATGTCGTGCTGGACAAAGACACATAAAATCATTATTTGATAAAAGCAATAATGAAGATCCTTTTGATGATACTGGAGAACATAGACCTTGATTGTAACATGGATTACTTTCACATGGTTTTTGATTATAATTCAATTTTTCACACAATGAACCATGTACATACTATTTATTTTATATATTTAAATCAATTTTTTTAAAAATTTTATTGAGAAAAAAAAAAGCGAAATTAACTTACAGGTATACAATGACAACTAAAAGTTAATTTTGAAACAAGTTCACATGTTCCAGCTCGACATGGATTTGGTTCACATGGATTTGTCCAATTTTGAAGATGAATATCTTAATAAGATTTTTATTTTTGAATTATTTCATAAATATATTATTCATACATACTTGATAAATGTAAAGATCCAATTGTTCGTCGAATGAAAAGAATAAATATTAATAAATATGATTTATCAATTGAAATATATTTTGACCTAAAATCAATTTTCTAATAAAACAAAAAAAAAACTCATATTCGAATAAAATTGTCTTACCACATTGTTCTTCTACAAGAAATGAATTTATGTTAGTATATGATAAGCATTTATTCGATAAAGAGAACGAGAAATAATAGGATTGTCTCGACAATAGAACTCATAAAGAAGAATGTTTAAACACTTGCAAACCATCGCGTCTATATGTGACCTTTTTTTTCATTGTTTTATAATCACTAATTAGGACAAGAACGACTAAACAAACTATCAAACGGAAGATAACAAACATAAGCCGAGTACTAACGAAATTTTATTCGACATCGACGTGATCGGACACCAATATCAATAACTAACAACTAGTAACATATTGAATACATTATCAAAGATATTTATACTTCAATTCCAAACAATACAAGTATTTTTATAACGAAATTTTTTTCTATATTCTATTCAATTTCTTAATTACATAAGACAACTATTATATGACTAATATTACTCTAATTAATTCATTTTCATATTTTATTAACATTTCATATTCTTTATTCTTTCGAAATAAAATTATTTTGTTTTTTTGTTTCATACGAATAATAATAAGTTGGATTTTATTGTAAACTCTCATCGACTTTTGATTTAAATTAATAATCTTTTATTAGTTTTTATTTAATTGATAGTTATATTTCTCATTGGCTTTGTTTTTTTCATCAAATCATACCATCGCGCATAATCTATACATCAGATTGAATAAACTAGCTGAAAAAACAAAACAAATTAAGGAAGATTATTTTTTTTTAAATTGTTTTTATGTCGAATATTTTCTTTTTCGTTTCTAAAAAGATCATTTAATTGGTCTATTTATTTAAAATAGAATTTCATCATTATTTCAATAAAAAAATTAATATTCTAAAAAGTAATATTATCTGACGATATCCAATTCAACATATGAAAATAAATAAGTCTTCAATTTCAATTATATTTTAGTTAATTGATTCGTAAATTTTTTTCTTAGACAATTTAATAGAGAAACAAATAAACAATTTTTTTTATCAATTAACAAAATAATATTATATTAAATTATTCAAATTTCATTATTCATCATTTACGTTTACTATCTTATATGATTTTGTTTTAAAAATGTGTTCATTGCGTCATATTCAAAAATAATCAAACAAATAATTGAGCAAACAATCTTCGTTATCCACAATCTAATCTAGTTTATGTTTACTCGAACTACTCTCTTAATACCTTGTTTAAATACATATCAGAAACTCTAGTTGATAACAAAAATACAAATTGACTAACACATCCAAGTTAGTATTCAATAGATTAGTCTCAATATCAATTTTTCCATTGATCTATATTAAATAATTATCTCCATCATCACCATCATCATCAATGAATGTTTTTTTAATCCTAAAATAATTATCCTTATTTAATAATAAACAAAACAAAACGAAGAAAATTTCAAAAAGATAACCATAATTATATTGAAAACAACTAACTAAACTAATGAAGATAACAATTATTTGAAATTTTGAATAAATCAAAAAATTTTCTAGAATTTCTTTATCATAGATATAATCATGATAAATATGAAATAAATAACAACTGATTAAATAAAACGAGTTATATAGACTTCATTTCTTATGTATTCGATTACAAATTTAGATTCGAAATTTCAAATTTTCTACTGATTTCATCAATCTCAATATCGATTGGACTCGACTAATTCTATTTGACAGCATGACGTCCAGATTGAATCTATATCAAAGATGAACAGGAATAGTTTTAATTCACTAGAGATATGACATTACTACTAAAAACCTTTTTGTTTTTGTCAACATCATTCATATTGTGTTAATGATAAGTTTTCAACAACAATGATTATTTATTTCAAAAACAACATTGTCACATGAACAATAAATCAAGACTGCTTGATATGCATCGGCAAATCTTCCTTTGAGAAATAAAGTTATGTTTGACATTTTATAGAAGAATTTTATTTTTAGTTGACAATTATTGAAAGATATGGATCTATCACACCTACAATCGCTTACATATCTCAGACGAATTAATACGAAATAAATTCTATTAAATATATAACGATGATCAAATAGAACAACAAGCAACAACTAAAACTAGTTCTAATCAATGGGAATTTTTAGAATTTCTCTTAAAATGAACTGTTTTTTTTTCATATAAACGAAAATTATTTTGATAGAATCTATTATCTTATATATCTAATATTCTATTTGTTTCTTGTCAAATTAATCTTTTTCGACAATCAATGAACAATTATGTTAAAATAAAGGAAAAAAACATTCGATAAGAAAAGTGACAATTATGATATGTTTTGTTAAAAAAACCAATATTTGTTATATATTGTGTGTAAAACAAAACTATTTTTATTTTAAATTAAGATAAAACAACAAAGCATAGTTAATTATTGCTCTTTTCTTTTTTCTTTTTCATTAATCCATTATTCTGTGCATTTTCTTTTCTCAGTAATAGAAAAGAAAAAGCAAAAAAAAAAAACCGATTGTCAATGACATTTTTTAATACGCGAGTCGGAATAGAAATATGCGATTAGCATTTGTTCTTTATTTAATCTGGGAACTAACTATTGATTTATAAGAAAAAAAAAACACTTTAAAAAAAAACTGATATTTATTTGTTAAATGTAATTATCAAGATTATCATTTTCTTTTTCTATTTTTATTTTATTATAGGAAAATATATTTAATCAAACATAGACAAAAATTAATATTTTATTAAATATTTTCATAGATAATCAATAAATCAAATGTATGAAACATATAT